CATCTGCATCAATTAGAGTATAGTCCTACCCGAGTGTTTCTCCAAGTGATGTTATAATCTGTCAATGTCGACGGAAGAGTGCCGTTCATAACATCCACGAGTTTCTAACCCGGTGTGTCAGGTGGGAAAGCGAGTGAGCTAGTGAGATATGATGCAGTGGGGATGGTGCCTTCGACGAGCAGGTACTAATAAAAATTGGCAATCCGTTCTCAACTTTCATCTATTGCGCTTTTCCATGCTCTCCTTTACAAAGCGTCCTCCTTTTACACACTTAAGGGGCTGCCTTTTGTAGTGCTTCGCGGTACACCCGAATAAAAGCACTTAAGAGTGGTTATGAGTAATGAAAACAAAATTTTCCTGTCTTTTTATCAATTTCTAACTATTCTGCATCAAACGAACGACGAATCAAATTGCTAGTTCCATGAAATCACTGTTACTACTAACTTAGGTTACAGTCCTATCAAGAGCTTAAAACATGACGCTAGCCAGTAGCGATTTACCTGTGTTAGAGTGTGCAACGAATGAGTAGTCTCAGCTTGAGTAGTAGGCATGGTGGTGCTGGTGGTGTTGGTGGTACTGATTCGTTTACGAAGTTTAGGAATAGGTGATGGTGAAGAAATGGTGAAAGTAGTGGTGGTAGTGGTGGCAGTGCTAGTGCTGGTGATTGGTGTTGGTGCAAGAGTAGTTGTAGCAGTAGTAAATGTGATGCGTCTAGCACTACTTGGTATCTCGTCGACACTTTCCACGTAGTTTCTCTGAAAGCGGTAGAGAGAAAAGATAAGCTGAAGAATAAGACTAGAATTTTCATCCTTATGCTGTGTATGTATTAATTAAATAGATTTGTCCGTACTGTAGAATCCGTCTTAATCGATTTATGGGATAAATAGAAGCAATTTTTTAACCTGATAGTAAATCATGCTTAAGTAAGAGCAAAGGTTCTCATGAATGGTGCACTTATTTAAAAGTACCGTACCTTCCTGCGCCTGCCACCTACCGTTCTACAATATTCCAAGCTTCCCTTGCTTGTAGAAGAACAATAGTAACGATAGTAATAATTTCCGATAAATGAAAGTGGAAAACATCGTGGTCCTGCTAAGCACAGAAAGTGCTGCTGAGTGCTGAGACACCATATTCACATGCATACTGCAAGCCGGCATACTGCCAAAAAGGGTAATGTAATAGTAGGGTAAGCCATTAGATAACTCCACTATGACCATATGCGTTTAAGTATCTGCTTGCTTTTTTATTTAGGAAGGAAAACTATCAATAATATGTATGTACACAAAAGCTGTTCGTACTCGGAATCACAACAAGAACGCATATCAATCAATATTGATCGATCATTTTAGGGTTGACGTCTTAACGTCTGAATCGGTCGATTGATCGATCAATCATTGTGAGGACAAAAAATGGTTACGCTGTACGCGATTCGTGTTTTTTTGTTCATTAGATCTCACATCTTCATGTTCCTGTGCAACAAATAGCATCGGATGCTCTGTGACGTATTTTCGGATCTCGTGGCTGAAAATGAAAGCTTTCTCGTTGAGAAAGAATAGGCCTCTCGTTAAAAACTCACCGAAAGTCGACAATTTCGGCCGGTATGAGGTCCCCAGAGTCGTCAACATCAACCTGTAATTAGCTACAGAAGGTCTGGAAGATAAAATGATGAAGCATATAGTCTCAGTTGTTATTTCATAACCTCCTTCCGTGCATAACAATTTTGTTCCATCTGTTCTTAAATATTACCGAATATTAAACCACCAGTTTTGTGACATCATCCTTAAATGTGTGTTAGATCGTTCTACTCAAACAGATTCGATCTACTACGTGGTCCACAATGAAGCGTCCATCGACGGATTACTCGCAGGATTCGATACAGCCCTGAATGAATCCTAGTCGTAAGAAAGCGAACCTCACTTTGATCCATAACAGCCGGCGAAGCCCTATACCTCGGAAGACCATAGAACGGGTGTCTTATGGTTCACAAAAAACCATGCTAGGAAAGCAGTCAACAAATGGATGAGGGCAGATTTTCAAGGCACAGTCAAACCCACACGTAAACCCGACCCGCTCGTTGGATGAATTTTGTATACCAATAAAATAAATAGGCGATGAATTGAAGACGGTATTTCACTTAATGATAGATTGAATAATTTAACCATCTAGGTTAACATCATATTTTCGAAAGTCTGGGGAAAACTTTATCAAAATACTTCATTTTCAACCGTTCGGTGGTTCCGATCATTACAGGTGTTTAAATAAAGTCTTCTTCCTCAAGAATTTATAGTAACTATTGCTCAAATAGTTTCTATTTCTATGTTACCTTATGCTACCTGTCTTTTACAATAACTGTTTACTTGTAATCGTCACATATCTATTCTAGCATATTCTGTAAATTGTCTCTCAACGACCATTTCATGCAATTACCTCGCAGGTGACTGCAAAGGGAATCAGCAGCAGTCAGCTGAATGTACTTTCCAGCATCTGCCGTCCCAAAGAAGTTTCCGAACAAGCACCTGCGCCCTTTCGCGTGTAGCCCTATTAGACTGTGCTAGCAGAAAAACCTTTAGAACCTAGGCCCTAGGCGCCCTTTAGTTCCTTCTGGCAAAGCTCCACCCACTACAGAAGTAATACAGGCAGTCCATCGGCATTCGTCTTTAAGTGTTCATAGCCTTCGTCCAGTGTTCATCCAGTCCCTCAGTTCCTCAGTGCTCCAACTCCAGCGTCCGCCTAGCCTCCTTCAATTGTATCACTTGTTCCCATTTCAATATCGCTCGTCTATACCCAGCTAACCACATATCGTCACATATCGCATATATTATTGTACAATATTGCACATATATTATTATTGCACCGTTGTTATTGCTATAAATTGTTATAACCCGAACTCGAGGTTTTTCACGGCAATTACGGAAAAATGTCTCGCGTGGCGAATTCATATAAAGTCGAGCATTCCACGTACAGTTGGCTGACAAAAGGCAAATCCGACCAACTCCCTAATCCGCTGGCCAACTAGCGTAGAATTACAACGGGAAGTTTTGTGGGAAAATAAAAGAGGTGGACAGTAAAACGATGAGAGGCTGACAACCTCGAATACATCTCATCGTGGATAAAAGGGAAATATGCTTCCCATTTAATAGAACAGGGGAAGAAGAGAGCACTGTTACTGATGGTGTTCCGTAACCGGGTTCACCAAGTCTCTCGTTCCAGGGTCGGCGTTAATGGTGCCGGACTTGTTTGGAAACGGCTTACTCCCTGTAGTCCAACTGGTAGCGCTCTATCTCGGTTATTTCAGGACTTCAGAAAAAATCAACTCGACCAGTTTTCTACGGCATTCATAAAGAAGACAATAATACTTAAGCCTTAACCACGTCCACACACGAAAAACTCGGAGACCTTTGTGGATGAACGATGCGAGGAAACGAATGGAAAGAAAGAAGTGCTGGAATCCGCATAATAGATGTGCAAATAAGTCGGTTAAACTAAATAAATAACGGTTAATTAATAAAATAAAGAAGTGGAAAGATATACTTTATGAAAGAACATCTTAGTGACATCGAATGGTACGTGGTATTTGTTCTCAATCAGCTGCGCCAACTCATCCACAGTGACCAGATGATCGCGATTCGTGTCGAACTCCTGCAACAATAGTTCAATCGTCTACCATTACTTGCACCAATGCCACTACTTTATACTTTTCTTTATTAAAACTAAATGATGATAAATGCACATAACGTTCTCTGCCAATAAAATTCTTGCCCACAAAAACGGCGGACTCGTTCTTTGGTGAGTCCAACGACTATTTTGAAACCAAACCTTCCACTTTGTTCTACTGCTATTTGTATTTTTAAATAGGCAAATATTAAGCAGCAGTCCTAATATTCCTCTAACAGTTTACCATTTCATCACGACAGAGAGATGTTTGCGCACATTTAGCTTAGATCTACAGCAAAAGGTCCACCCATCTTTCATTTAAACTGAAAACAAATCCTACATTTCCACACGAAAATTCAGCTTGGAGTGAACCTATGCCTCGGCAGGGTTAGCAGAACTGAGCGTGACTCTTTTAACCTAAATAGATAGCAAAGAATACAACTCCCTTCGTGTGCGGCAAGCCATTAGAACTGCCTGTTCCGCTCTGATACGCTGCGAAAAAGATTGGAAACCTGAGTGAAGATCACTTCAGTTAGACTTACTTTCTTAGATACATGAATAGCCTGTTTTCACTGCTTGCGCGTGGCTCAGCATAGTTTCCATTCTTTCGAAGTTTTTCTGGTTTAGCCATTGTCGTCCCTTGTAGTTCCGTTGGAATCCCGAGGACAGCCTAACCAAAGTCAGCCCAAGGTCGTCACCACCAGAGGCAGTCGCCGCCCTTGGGAACCAGAGGTAGATTTGCCACCATGCGACTAGTTTGATACCAGAACGGTGGTCGATCCTGATAGTGGTTTACTCTAAGCTAGGCTTCCTGATGGAAAAGCCGGACTCCTTCTTAGCTTAGGAGTCCCTGCTGAAGGATGAATCTTCCGCCGTATATCGTGGCCCGATACCCTGAAACAGCTCCCAGCCACGATAAGGCGGTAAACCGTTGTGAGGATCGTTAATCGTTATGCCACCGCCCAGTCTTCCAATCTATCGACACCTTACGGCATAACATTCTACAAATCAATTAACATGTTATTATTAAAATAAATAAATTCAACTTGGCTCTGATGAAGACGACGACGTCGAAACGTTAGCCGAATAAAATATTGGTAACAACCCTGTTTATCAGTCAGTTTATCAGTCAAACAAGGTACACTAAGTTCAACTTACTTTAAAGTGGTCGGTGGCGAAACGGATAGCGCTCAATCGTACGAGCCGAATAAAGTCCGCCAATTCAACTTTATCGAGCCTTCCGCTTTTATTCTAAAACAAAAACCTCGCTTTAACCGAAGAAGAACAATCGGAAAATTTGTACACATGGGCTATTTTCAAGCAGCATCGCCTTCACAACGACAAAACTAGAAATGCATGCTTCTTCCCTGATCAGCTATATTGAATAGCACTGCAGTTTCTGGCGTATCCATGTCATCTTCGCGTTTTGTTTTCGCTTCAGCTTCCGACAAGCTCACCAATCCATCGCCGTCAAGATCGATTTCCTGGAGTGAAATTTCCTTCATCACTTGCATACTACAATTGTCACAACATAATCAGCATTCTGTTGTTCTTATAAGCAAAAAACAAAACGTTATTATCGCCAACAAATCCACCACTTGCTGATTGAAAAGCAGTCTGTGACTTACAAAAGGGTATATGAAGTTGATATGAGTCAAGATTAGGAATAAAGTGGCATAGCAAGCCTTTATTTCCACGAAAGTTCTTCTGGTTGTCACAGACGCAAATCTGTGCGACAAAACTTCGTATCGCTCCGCTCACGAAGGTGGTTGGCGAGCTTTCGTGTAGCTCCGTCAATTTTTGCCTTTCTTACTACTTTTAGATCGTCTTTTAAGGCACTTATCTTTTCGGTATGACTAAAGTATTCATCCTATGCTGTATGCCATCAGCCTTCGGGACGCCGATTCCGCGATATTGTCTTAGCATTTTTGATGTACCAGCATTTTTCGTTCACTAGTATTATCTACTCTTGTATGTTTTCTCTTAACATTTCTTTGCACATCTGCCTTTGACAATCTCTTGATTTATCGATATCCCAATACTGTGATATCCGCGCATCCTATTCGACCATTATCTCTTTAGGAATTAGCAGCAACTCAGATTCGATGTGTGTTGTGGCTATTCTGTTGGTTTCTTGTCTAAAACAATAAGTGGTGCACCATTCCAGCAATGCCTGGTACTGAATGGCTGGTTTTGCGGCAGTTTTTTGCTTTTTTCCGGACTTACAGTTTCTTCAGGCCGGAAACTACTAAGTTACTAATGATAGTTCACATTTTCTGAAACCTGAGCTTGTTTGCCTGATATGCTTATAAGCAGTATCCCATTCTTCCCCTCTTCACATCCAACACATCAACTAGAGGCATGACTCTCACCTTCAGCACTTCGATAGCATTGCGTACGGCCTTGTTGCGAATCACTGAACGGAATCCAGCAAATTCGACGGCATCCAGATGACCGTCCTCATTCTCATCAGCTTGGGCAAAAAATGGAGCGAGATCCTAAAGGAAACACTGAGGTGAAGTATGGCTAGCCAAAAACATTCCAAACCACGTGATGAATAGATTACTATCTCTGTTTTATTCTTGTCAATATTTAACAAACTCACATAATCATAAATCACAGTCCTGCGAAATAGTTCCCCACTTATTTAGTTTTGTCACTTGTATCAACCGTTCATCGTTAATCTACTCTAGCGCCCACTATTAGGGCCTGGTCTAATACTTATCGCAAATCAAATATACCCTGTGGCTTCGTTCCCTCGGTGGGCATGAAGAGCACAGGACTGTTTGCATCAAGCCCTATACTCACTGTCATTTCGAGAGAGCACTCACGAGTGGCTCATAGAGTTCTGCTGTAATACAGGTTTACTCTTAGCTTGGTTTATCGGATGAAAATGTCAAAATTCTTCCAGGCTTAAGTGACCATGATAATGGATTAGTCCTCGTTGCATAGCAGTTCAACGTCCCGTAAAGCCATCCAACCACCGAGGCAGTAAACTATTGGAGACTTTGCCTTTATATATTAAGAAAGATTTAATAACGACCAAAATACAGTTTTTCTCATTCACATTTAATAACTTATGACGAAAAGCATCTTCACGATGTCCATTATGAATTATTACTACTCAGCCATGTACAAACTAACTAACTAACTAATACTGTACTAATACTGTACTACTAACTGTACAATAAGAATGGGAGCCAGCCGAAAGTCGACTAGTCCCTGGAATCACCGTCGCCATATCTGGATTACGCTATAAAATTTAAAATGTCTAGATTCCTGTAGTAGTCCGAGTCGCAAGGCAGCAAAATTTCATCAGTTCAACTAAGGTGGGCGACATAGTGTGAATGGCTTCAGATCGTCCTGTCACTGCTATTTTTGATCTTAAGCAAAATCACGTTCATTCAAAATTCAATAGAGAAAAAAGAGTGCGTGTAGCAGTGCTTGGACGTGCCCTGCAATACAAGTGGTAGTTGGGCTGACCCCGTGCTTCGATATCAACAAGCCTTCCATGTCTCCGGGGGTGACAAATTGGTAGCAGACTTGTTTGAAAGGATAGCTACATTGAACTGATACGTCAGCAGACCACTGAAACTCATTATACGAGCTAGATATTCATTCTCCCATCTCATCACCTCTACAATGTTTTATAAAAATGAATGTATGTCTCACCCATTAAGGATTGACCAACCTTGAGTGCTGTTCGTTCCCCACTGCATACACCTGTGGTCCGGAGTTTTGCAAATATCTCAGCATTTCATACGAGCTGAGTGCTTTATTCTCCAACGTTTAATGGTAAAAGGATAAAGCACGGCTCTAGAGGAAGAGGTAGCGATAGTTGAAATGCCACCGGATACTCTACGTCGTCAGTTAGTTCGTAACCGTCTGTATGACCGTCTATATGAAACACAGAACTGCGTAATTTGCCCCTACGTGAGGGACGGTGATTGCATGAGTTTAGGTACGATCTACCTGATTTCTTGCAGTACTTGTGGAGACGAATATATTGGCGAAATGGGCAGACCATTATGCATCCGCATAAATGAACAGCACGGTGGCAAGCAAAGAACAAGACAAAGTACCCACAAGGCACGTAAAAGATACAAAAGCATAGCGGAGACGATTTTGATGTAAAAGTCATTGTCCTCGCACAGGATGCCAAAACAACAACGCGCGTACTTCTTGAGGCTTTTTGGATAAATGCCGTGAACCCTACAATTAATAGCACGAAGGAATGCGCAGAGGTTAGAAAGGATCTGGCCCCGTATCTTCGCATCGATTTCTGATATGGTGTGGTGCAGTCATCAACCACTTGCGTTTGTAATCAGCGGTTTTTTTTCTTCCTCAGTGGAGCACACGTTAAAGCGGTGGGTTTCCGAGAAGTTTTGATCATGTGGTTGCTATATAGGTTTTCATCTTCCTGTATGTGTTATTGAAGCGTTTGGCATAATAAATTAGGTATCAGTGTACCCCTTCCAAGCTCTGAAAAAGGCGCTCCTGTCGAAACGTCAGCAAGTGTTGTGTTGTAGGTGTTTCTTGCATTGAAGTGAACGCATGCTGTATAACAACCTCACGGTTGCTGAACAAGAAAACGACGCATTTACAAATCTTTCAGCGTTGCATTGCGCATCGACAGAGATGATTGAATGCACATGTGGTATTTGCGGTGGCCCGCGGTGTCGTACCGGTGCATCGAGCCAATGCTACTATCCTCCCAGACAAGTCTGCTAGCAATTTAACAGAGGGCTTGGTGAGCCTAAGGCGCTGGGATAGATCTCAGGTCTATTTAACTCACCACTGCGCTACACGCGCCCCATCGGTTAATGGTAAGAAATTGCAAATTCTCCAGATGTAGCAGTTTCCAAGACCTATTAGCCTCGGCATTGATAAAATAATTCACTACATTCTTGACGAGCAAACACGATGTTGTTATCCTACTCTTTACGAAAAGGCTGAAATTTCGGGGCATTATGATTTTTCTAGATGCTGGAAAGGTCAAGTTGACTACAGTCTACCCCATCAAACACCTCCATAACCAAAAGGAGAAAATTCCAAACCACGATGTTAATCTTGTTCACCGCTTCCTATGAGTTTTTCGCTGACTATATCACGTGGAGAACAAAGGCACAGATTTCAGATGAAAGCATAATTTGCCTCTTCCAAGTCCAAAACGAATGTAGTAGTACCACGAGATGAAGTTGACTCTACAGACAATAATCCAACAATTTCTTTGTCTAACACTAACAAGACCTGTGTGGCGTAGTGGTTGGAGGCGCCACTGCGAGACACACGTGGAATCGATCCCTACGCCTATGGCCCACCAAGCATTCCATCCCTCCGGAATCGGCAAATTGGTACCAGACTTTTCTAGGAGGATAGCAGCACTGGCTCGATACATCGGTAGGCCACCGCGTAAAGGCCAGATATGCATTCAATCGCCTTCAGCGATACTTAATGAAGTCGAATGCATTGCGCATCCCTTAGGGATTAATCGACGCCGACAGCCTTATCCTTTTTTTAAGAAGACATATGGATAAAATGACCGAACCCGCCTTACAGTTGCCGAAAGATTATACAGATATAAGTGCGCAGTTTAAGGATCAGTCGATTCTACATAATATCGAGCAAACCACATTAACATCATTGAGCGAGAGCTAGGTCTCTCCATGTAGACTTTTAGCGAAAAGTATGATGCTCGTCTTATTAACCGAGCTGGCAGAACCCATTGCGTGGCAGCTGCACAAAGCAGTGCCTTATGGAGATTATGGCTACCGGCTAGAGTCGCTTCACGATTATAGCGGATCAGATGGCACAGGTGATTACAAAACTAAGTTATCGTTTCAAAAATAGACTTTCCTTTAACCTTGGAATGACTAGACAACATCTGTTTAAATTTTCGAGCTTACACGACGTTGATAACCTAACTTACTAACTTATCATCGTCGTGTAAGTTACCATTATCAATTCTCAACATACTCACATTTTCGTTGAATCCATAGTGTTCAAATGCGATACGCCTACCTTCGTCCATTGTAAGCGTATTGCTGCCGTCTAAATCGACTACCTAAATGAAATTCTGAGAAATCTAGGTGTCCTATAGAATCGACTTCAGTCAGTGAAGAAGACGCTATGCCATAAAGTTCGCACCACTCAATTGAACACCTTTCTGTTTTCATGATTATATCACTATACATGCATTGTTGTATTGTATTACATCATAACTCCAAACGTTATCGGTATTTACAATTTGGCTTTTTTTATTTACTGCCTTTTACAAGTTTTCACGACAGGGTACTATTTTTGAAACAACCACAATGGTGCTGAGATATTTGCAAAACTCCCGACCGCAAGTGTCTGCTGTGCTGTCCGCTCAATCCTGTTTACGGGTGATTGCTAATGGCAGTGATCAATAGAACTAGTTGAGAGACAGCCGAAATGAAGGACTCGCATGGTGTGGTGGTGAATGCGTTAGACCTCGGAAATGGTAATAACCCGTTCGTTCCCCACAGGAGACACCTACGGTCCGGAGTTTTGCAAATATCTCAGCATCATTGTGGTATGTTTTTCGATACTTTTCTTTCTTATTACTTTTTTCTTCGATGTGATCTGATGAATTCACCCACTCTGAGCGCTTTTTTACTAGTTTCGACCGCTTTCGATCGAACAATTCGTTCAAAATCAGCGAATTCTGGCGCGTTCAGTTCACCATCATTGTTGTCATCAACGCTAGCGAACATCTGAGCAACGTCTCCTTAAAATAATTGGATGGATCAACTTCTCAAACATAACAACTTGCTACAATTAACCCTTTGTAGCGATAAACTGGGTTTGTTTTTATAAGAAGACAAACGGAGATTCGACATATATTAAAGCTCCTAGAAAAATCCATATACTATTAAAAAAAAAATCGTCTTCGTTTCTCAGTAAAAAGGCGAATAACAACAAATGTTTTCGCAAGGCGAGGATGATGATGATGATGATGATGATGATGATGATAAGGTGGACGAAAAGAGCTTGAAGGAAAGAGCACATTACTCACCCGCTCCGATACCTTCTTGTTCAAAAGCTATCGCTTGAGCCTCTTCTAATGAGATATGGCCATCTCCGTTGGTGTCAGCATTCTGAATTCAGTGAAATCATAAAACGATGTGTGTCAACGACATGCCGTTCTTTTCGGATACAACTCTTTTCACCTTCATAATCTGCCTTGCGAGTCTGATAGTCATACCGCGAATACGACGACGTAGCTTACTGAATTGTAGCGCGTCCATTTCAGCTGACGTACGGGGAACGACTAAACGCCAAACACGTTCCACATCACGAAAACCTAAGATATTCGACGCTGTTGATATTAGGCAGTTGTGAACTCTGTGTTCTTAGGACCATAGAAAAGTCTGCTGTTGCCTTCAACTCCTATCGCTGGAAGCTCAGCGCAACAATAAAGCGGTCGATACTGCTTTCAGAAAGAACGAATTTGTACGAAAGCATTAGACTAACCATAGTATTGCTGAGATATTTGCAAAACTCCAGACCGCGGTTGTCTGCGGTGGGGAACGAACGCACTATTCGTTATTACCCTTTCCGGGGGCTAACGCACTCATTCACCACCACGAATAGAGATCATAGAAATCTGGGTGAGAGACAAGCGAAACGAAGAACCCGCATGGTGTGGTGGTGAGCGCGTTCTCTAAGTTAGCATAAGACTAATTCAGTTCAATACTCGGTTTTAAGGAAAAACCAGATTTTTTTTTTGTAATTTCACTAATATGGGATATTATGAGAGAGATGGGTGCGTGTAGCGCAGTTGTTAAAAGCTCATTGCAATCCACACGTGGTCATTGCTTCGAATCTAATCATGGAACAAAGGCCCCACATCCCTCCAGGTTCGGAAAAATGGTACCAGACTATTACAGAAGAACAAAACACTAATAGATTTTTTTAGGCCTTGAAAAATCATTCTAAAGCCGGAATATGTATTCCGTCACTTCTATCGTGCCACGCATGGAATTGAATGCATGGTACACCGCTCATGAAGTGGTCATCATCAAAAGCACTATTTTTTCCCATAGTGGTCAATCGAGCAAATATCCTACGTTTCTGACCTCGAAACCACCCACTTGTTTGTTGTTATTCTAAAAAAACATTTCTCACTTTTAGAGAAAGTTCAAACGAATTTACTAGAAGCTGTACGTTCGGAATTCGCAAGCGAATATGTATTCGAAGATTTCGAATGTCGAATAGGCGTCCGAATGCTCGGATGTTTGTCCAAATTTTCGATTACTTTATGAGAATGAATGTGAACCTATTCCGTGCTCCTTCAATATGTAAGCCTGTGCTTCCTCCAATGACAGCATTTTATTCTTGTCGGTGTCGACACTCTGCAATAGATTTTTATTGCGATGTGCAGAACATACGAAGAAATTTTTTAGAAATGCTAGGTTAGAATGTTTCATTTTTAACCATTATAGGCAAATTCGACGTTTTCTGCTGTCGTCTTTGGCAGTAGTTTAAGCGATAACGCGGCGATCAAACTCTTCAGCTCCTTTGATTTAAATGATTCTATTTCATAATTGTCCCAAAATCTAAACAGCTCTTCTTCATAAATAATTGTGCTAATCTTAACCCTTTACTTGGTTTAATGGCAGTTGCCAATTCTCAAGGATCAAAAATGGGGCTGCTATTTTGCTCTATTCAGTTTCTTCCGGAAAAATGTTCAACTAGTAACCACCCCTAGTTGACGTTTTCGATAAAACTGTCGCCTGTAGACTTGCGCGAACCCAAAAAACTGATTAACCCATCACCACCTCATATCAGAGTTTGACAGCGAAGAAAAAGCCATAGTAATGATAAGGATGCAAGCCGGGGTGGCTTGCTTCTAGTAAACGAGGTTCTGATGTTCGGAAATAACTGTGCAAGTAATACCTGCATATATCGGAGTGCCGCGTTTTCAGCCTTAGCCAGTACCAGCGGACGGATGTTGTCAAATTCGGCCGAGTCCAGAAAACCATCCTTGTTACGATCAACCTAATACGGAACCATCAAGAACTATAGAAACGACAAATAGTGTATGACTGCGTCAAGTGTCAAGTTTTTCTAACTTAATAAACATAATTTTATTTGAAGACCTCAAGTGTACAGCAACTTACTTCGCTGAATAAGCCTTGAACGACACTGCCTGATAATCCATGGTGGACAAACGCGGCGTACTGTACCTCAGGAAGACTCAGTCGGCCATCACCATCCAGATCGACATTCTTGTCGACTGGCATCATGTTAGAAGCAACAGGAAGTGGTTGAGATGTGGTAATTGTAGATACTGTAAGTAGACGAACAACACTGGCTGTTTAGTTTTGAGACAGGAACTACTATGTTTAACTCTGGTTGATGCTAAAACCCTGTAGAATAACCGTAGTCATTTTAAATAAAGTAGTTATTTTGCTGTTATTCAGGAGAAATTTGGTTTATGGGTTTATGGGTTCGGTTTTTGGAATAGGTGATAATCGAGTGCTCAAGTCTACGTGGAAGAATTCTCAAAGAAAATCGATGAGTAGGTAAAAAGTGATAACGTTTACATTATTGGCTGTGAAGCCTACAAAGTAGCAAGAATATTTTCACTTAAATTTGAGTTTACGATAGAAACATAGTAAAGTGCAGGCGCAGAAAGCTATGCTGTATGAGCACTAATAAAGGGTGGTGGATTTTTCCAAGTATGCGCATTCTTCTGTTTTCCTACTTAGAAGGAAGAGCTAGCTCTCATCCAAGATATGGCTATGATAACATCACAAAAATATCTGATAGTGTCACATATTTTTCAGAAATGCGCATACGAACTATGGGAACGTCAAAACGTTTGCGTGCAGTCTTCGAAGACCAGGAACTTTTTCACTTATGAACTGACTTTCGCTAGTAATTTCATCCTGTCGCACTTCAAAAGTGACAGTTGTAACTACCACTAGAGTTCAGTACTATATAGTTTTATAGATTTGTTGAATATCTGACAGAGAGAGAGAACGCTTTGACAAGAACTCTCTTCACCGATAACGTTGCAGCTGAACACAGTTCAACACAATAGGAGACTGTTACTCTAGCTGTAAATAAAAATGCTCGTTTACCGGTTTTCTGCTCAACAACTGAGATAGTAGGTATAGTCTGAGTGGTTGTGATGAGTTGTTGTTCATCAAGAGCTGACGCATACGGTGATATTAGGTTGGTTGCGTGCTGTTCTGGTAGCAGTACATCAGGCGTTCTCATCACTGTCATGTCACCCTGCACCGGTTTTCTAGCTAGTTGAGAGTGTAGTGGAGGTGCAAGAACGTCTGCTAGTGCAAGTGCAGGTGCAGCGGGTTCAGGTGCTGATGGTGCGACTGCGAGTGCTGCGATAGTTGTGGTTGCATCAGTAGATGCCGCCGAATTGTACGGTGAGAATGAAAACATTCCACGATTCATAACTAAACGAATACTGAATATCATAGACACACACGGAGAACATCATACAGTGATCGTGCTCTTTCAATACTATTTATTCCTAGCTAAGCGGTGGTTATCGATGGAAAATCACGTGAAGAAAGCAAGTTATTGAGCAATCTGACGGATAAAGCGTTGTAGTTCTATCAGAACATGCCTAATTGAAGGCGTTGGCATCAGAAACAATATCTCACTCACTCAGTGCCTTTTGGGGAAATCGAAATTTTGCTATATTGAGTGGATCGGTGTTGCCGCTTACAAAGAAGGCACCTTGAATTGGCTTCCTTGGATCGAATCCTGCAAGCATCAACAAATAACAATATAGTAACATAATACAGTATGTGATAACAACGGTGTGACTTTGTTGAAATTTTCATGCGTCTATGAGCATATTTGTTATCCACGGACTTCATTATTGTCCACTTCTGGTTTAGATGGCGTATGTCTGCTGACTGATATCATCATTTTAATCAACACTGCCGTCAGAATGCGTTTGCATTCGGCGGTGGCGCATGCTATAGTATAAGTATTGGTCGAGCAGTCGACGAATTGGACAGGTTGTGCACTAGTTAGTAGCGATGAATTGAATCTTCATCGAACACCCTGAATACTATAGGTAGTACATTCTGAAGATTGAGTTTGGAATAGCAGTTAGAGGTGCCCTAAAATTCACACATAGTTCACATCCATGTTATAGAGATCACACACACTGTTTAATCCGGCGCCATAAGCCAGTCAGGCCCATTGTGCTCCTGTGACGGTCAGCAAATTCGTACCAGACTTCTCTGGGAGGATAAAAAACACCAACATCATACACTGGTAGGCAACGTAGCTCATTGTGTAGGAGCTTCCAGAAAGGTGCGATCAAGAATGAACGCTCCTTCTACCTTTGCCATCTATTCTTTATTATTCAATGGTCCAGAAGCAGTACGTACATCACACCTCATCGGCAGAGTACTCAGCATGCTGTGCATGATCTCAGCAATGTAAGAATAAATGGTGAATTTGATGTATGTAAGAAATAAAGGACAGACTGATGAGATGCACAATACTGATGCAAGGTGGTTACCATCAAGTTCTTCACCATGCGGAATAAACAATGCGTTTGGTGCCAAGTGATTTCGAGTAATGTTGAGTGCAAGTGGATTGCTGTTATCTTCAGTATCAGCTGTAAGAGAGATCATGATATTTTTTCATCACCGCTTTAGCACCTTTGTGTCATTTTTCTTTTTCTTCAAAAGTTTTTATCACCATACACTCACGGTTCGTTTCATGTTCCGACATCGGAACGCTGATGACACTCCGAATAAGTACAAGCGAGAGAAGCACACGCATCCTGTAAATTCATCTACTTCACCTGAATACCACTGAAATATTGAAACAGTGACGCAACTGAAATCATATGAGAAACTTCTTGAATTTAAATAAGATGGACAACAAGAGAACATCGGCTATCATGGAAATCCTTCACCTTGACAGAACTAAAAAAGTATACGAAAGCAAGAGATATGTTGCCGTTTGCATGACCGGAACTTGAGAAACGGAACTGCTATCAAATTTCGGGTCTGCCTCTCTCTCTTGTTCTCTCTTCAAAACCAGAGAATACGCAGGATTTGAGAGCGAGTGAAAGCCAGCAGCAGCTTCTTCAATGCTTCGGCCTTACAGCTAATGTGATAAAAAATGGAAAGCTTCATGAAAAAAAAACAAAGATGAATAGAGAATAACAAACGATGTAAGAAACACGAGATGTATGAAGGATTGAGTACAATGGTAGGCTTACAAGGTCTAAGAATAATTCATACTACAGAGAACAAGAGAGAGTGGAGAGCGGAAAAAGGACAAACTGTCAAAGGCGGCATTACGCATACATCGACAAAACACGGAAGAAGGTGGGTTATCATCACAGAAGAAAAAGATAGATAAAGAATATAGGGTAGTGAGAGACTTATATAAAAAAGGAAGGCAATGAGAAAGGTTATGAAAAGAATAAAGGGTAGAAAAATGAGGGAACGTGAAAGAGGAGTGGACAGAGTTGCTGTGGTGCGAAGATAGAGGAAGAGTCCAAGAGGAGGTGACTATTTGACAAAGAGTGAAATCGGCTGAAATGTGACCGTCGAAGTTCATGAAAATCAAATGAGAATTCATCTATTTGCTCGAAGTCGGGTTCCCAAAGAATGCAAATCTTCAACGAATCGATTGGTGCTTTTTTCATGCTTCTTTGGTTTTGAGATGGAAGACCTAACCAGGTACTTTGTGCTCCATCAACGTCCTCCTCTGCAATAAATTGGTGCTAAACCATTGGAAGATTTTTCTCTATTCAGCCATCTCGCATGATTTTAATACATTTTCTTTCTGATCCTCATCTTCGCTGATTTTTGAAAGCCTGTCCGAGAAGAACTGACTTCTGTAGAAAACAGTTTGTGAAAAAAAATCAGTTACTGAGGCAGTTCCACTTGTCCCCGTGAGTCCTGTAATAATTTTTTTATTACTGGGCAGTCAGAAATAATACAGAGACGTTAGCCGAAAATAAACATCATTATCAACCTCGTGTAAGCTCATCAAAGAAGGAATACATATTGATTGGTGATATTGAGGTTCAAGGAAAGTCGGTTTCGAAATATATGAAAAGTGTTCAAAACCGACTTTCTTTTAACCTTGGTATGACTAATCAATATGTATTCTTTCCTTCATAAGCTTACACAAGGTTGAAATGTAATCTTTATTTGGCTAACGTTTCGATGTCTTCGCCTTCATCAGAGTCGGTTGTCCGAGTCGATGGTCTACAGTTGTTCGTGTTCTCGATGTGGCGTCTCCACCATCTTATCGACCCGGATTTTCTTCAGTGGATCATCTCTTGAATGCGCCATGCCCACCCGGCGATGCTCTTTTATACAGGATGCGACCGACGTCGAAGGATGCATCGAAAGATACAAAGTAGGTGAAAACGAACAACTGCAGGCCGTCGACTCGGATCAACGGCGCTCATGAAGACGAAAACGTCGAAACGTTAGCCCAATAAAGATTATTTATTAACCTCGTATAAGCTTATCAAAGAACGAATACATACTTATTTGGATACTTGAACGGCCCGTCCTCATTGGTTGTGCAGGCCATAGCATATAAATCCATTTTTGGAGTTTTCTTGGCTTAACCATTGTGTTTTTCTGAGGTTCCTAGATTAGCCTGGAAAAGCTCTGCTCCAGGTTGTCACCACCACAGGCAGTCACCATCCTTGTTGATCAGAGGAAGGTTTGCCACCATGGGAGTAGTTTGATTCCAGAACGGTGGTGGACCCTAGTATTGGTTTACTTTTAGCTGGACTTCCTGATAGAAACGCCGGACTCCTAAGCTTGGGAGACTCTGCTGGGGTGATGAATCCACCTGCTGTACATCGCGGCCCGATACCCAGGAACACCTTACAGCCACGATGAGATGGTCAACCGTTGGGAAGGAAAGAATACATATTGATTCGAAAAAAATTTTTTGAATATTCGATAACTTATTCCATATGAGCGGGGTCCATTAATGTCATAGTCGTGGAAATAATTTAGATTGAGCAATTTGACGCATTCTCAGTTACGTATAATCTTTGAAAATAAGAGCACGGAAAGTGGGAGCGTGCATCGGACTCAGTGCATGAAGTACGAAATACCCTCTCAAGTCGAAATTATCTAAGTAACTTCGTTAACACCTCGAATCGAGAAGATGGCTCACTGAGGAAGACCTGACTCGACACGAAGGCGAAGCTGCCACGTCGAGACGAACAACAAGCGAGGACCATCGACTCGGATCATCGGCTCTGAGGCAGACGAAGACGTCGAAACGTTAGCCGAAAACAAACATCATTATCAACCTTGTGTAAGCTCATCAAAGAAGGAATATTTTTCATATAGTTCGAAACTTTAAAACTATTCGATCGTGTTTGCACATTTATTGTTCAAAACTTAATTAATGAAGAATAATCAAACTGCCGAACTAACGCAATGACGATTTCACCACATAATCATTCTCATTTCAGTATCAGTGATATAGTACCTCATTCCTTAAGGTTTCTTAAATCCGCGAATTCGAATAATGGAACAGTAGGATTTCCAATCGATGTGAGAAATTTGATTTTCGAACTCGAACGATGAACAAATAAGCGAACATCCCGCTGGACAGACGATCAATACTAATCGAAGTTTAGTAAAAATCAATAATCAATGGGTTGAAAAAAGCGTTTATAAACTACTCTGCATCGAACGTACTTTTTTAAGCAGTGTGTTATTTCTGCTAGAAGGACTGAATTTGGTTTAATCAATTTCAACTCGAACAAATAATTTCAAATCGGAATGGTCAATTAATGCCCATAAGACGACTATTAAAACAATCATTTTTTCAGCAATCAAAAGGTTGTTATACAGCCCACTTTCGTACAAAAGGAACACATAGAACAATACCGTAGCCGACATGTTTGCAGTGTCGCCCTCTTCATGTATCAACGTACCCTTCCAGGCTCTGAAGAAAGCGATACAGCCGAAAGGTCAACTACTGTTGTGCTGTGTGTTTTTGCATGGAAATGTTTGTTGTATAACAACCCTGCAATTGCAGAACAAGAAAACGACACATTTATAGTGCTATACCAAGGTTAATAGGAAGTTGAACTCGGGAAATGAAATCATTTTTTATTTAGTACCTATTTTTTCTGATGGCAGGGTGTGGTGCAAAATGCAACCACAACGATGCTCAGATATTCGCAAACTCCAAACCGCAGGTGTCTGCGGTGGATATCGAACACGCTATTACCTTTTCCAGGGGCTAATGCATTCACCACCACACCATGTGGGTCCTTGTTTTCTGCTTCAGCTTTGGCTTAACTGGGTTTAGCGCCCATTTGTGCTCCCCAGATCAATCCCCATGATGGGTGAATGCTAACAGCACCTATAAACACGGCTGAGAGGAAGGCGCACCGCATTGTGTGGTGGTAAAGGCGTTAGGGACCGGAAATGGCAATCTCGTGTTCAATCCGCATTACAGACGCTTGCAGTCCGGAGTTTTGCAAGTATTTCAGCGACATTGTGGTCCTACTGAAATAGTTATAAAAACTATCTAAATGTATACCTTCTACATATTTAAATTCATAAGGGATTTAGCAGTGACGTTCGTTAAGAAAAGACGTTCTTTGTCCTTCTTTCTTTTGTTTTTTGTAAGGTACCGTGATAGATGCCTGATTGCCACAATCACAAGTGATAGATGTTAACGTCATCTGGTACTGAGAACGAACTCACTATTAACAATAATAATAGTTTTTACAATAATAATGAGTAGTGGTACTAGTACTGGTAATGATAATAATAATAATAATAATAATAATAATAATAATAATAACATTCACATGATAATAACAATGCTGATAATCGGCACGTGCATCGGTTGTGACAGGGATAGATGACTGAGGTGATGACAACGATCATTAATATGGTAACGACAACAATTGAGATAAGACCGGATTTTCTATGAACCTCGACATAAATAGTTAATTTATTTACTTATATGATCTTATAAACTGGTCTTTTTGAGCTGGTGCGAGGTTGATACAAGTTTCCGTTGTCGTTGTTGTTGGTGTTGTTGGTCGATGGCTGACGGTTCGGTGATTTCGCCTTCCTCAGAGCCTGGACGTATTTTGTACAAGAATGGACCAAAGTATTAAGGCTCAGAGGAAGGCGAAATCGCCAAAACGTCAGCCACCGACCAACAACACCAACAGCAACGACAACGAAACATACCAACCTCGCTTCAGCTCCACAAGATCGGTTTGTAGGATGACTGAGATGATTTTAGACTATTGAGCTTACTCGTCCTTGCAGTTAATCGATAACTTGTAGGAAGGAAAGTAATATTAGATGTCCTGCGGTGAGTAATGAATGGTAGGCAACAAATAAGAAATTATACAAAAAATGGTGCTCAAATTCGTTTTGTAAAGGATCACAGCTTAATCATGAAATGTGCATTTATTGAAAACATCTTATTTCAGACAAAAATTAAGACAGGTAAAAAACTTATATGAATAATTTAGTGTTCGATGGAAATCGCATAGTTCGTGACTTCGGCGACAGCACCATATCCACAACGACTAAAGCAACTCCTTGGTGGCGAAAAATTTTTGTAAGGAAGAAGAACTGAGATATTTTGTAGATTATAAGGTAACGTTGCGAAAGACCAGGGCTTCATAGAATGCAAAACGAAAAGTTCGAACAGAAAAAGAGCTGCCAACGTTCTTCAGATTATTCGAAAAAGTTGCCGAAGAACAGCAGGTGGAAAGCTCAAGGGTGACTTGCTTTCACAGATTTTGAGCA